TAATTTTTGAATGACAGTTATGTAAAAAAGTTTTTTAGAAAAGATTGAACGACAATTATGTTAGATAGAAGTGCTATTTACTAATAAAAACACTCAATTAAAATTAAAAACTACGCAAACTTAATCTGTATCATGCTAATTTTTTTATTAAGATATTTAGTAACAGAAAAAAAAATTGTTTATAGTTAATAACAATTGTTTATAGTTAATGACAATTAATGTTTATAGTTAATGACAATTGTTTATAGTGAATAACAAATTGTTTATAGTTAATGACAATGGAACGTAAAAAAACCCAAAAAACCACAAAAGAAATATAAATAATAAAAACTTTTGTTTACCAACGAGCACAAGAATATTTATGCAACTTTTGACTGCAATGAAAAGAAAAACTTAAAACTTAAAAACTTAATACTTTAAGGGTTTATCCATTTTCTCCTTTGCGTGGCAGTTTCGCTGCCCAAAAGAGAAAATTGGTCTCCTACTTGTATTTTTTAAATATGTTTTGTGTTGCATAATTCATGAATGATCTCTAAGCTTGAAGCAAAGATCATTATAATTTAATGGTGATAAAAAATTTAATTTAAAACTAATTTAATCAAAATATATAATTTTATTCTAATAAAAAAAGTATATAATTTAATTTTGATTTAAAATATAATTTTTTTTTCAAGATCATGCTTTTGAGTCGATAAAACGTGTTTATTTAGGCGTAAGTTTTCCACGATTTGTTTTCATAATCTTTTTTTGCTTATTGCACTTGCATTATTATCTACATATACTCTCTTCTACTGCAATTTGCTTCATCTCATAAGCTTATTTACTATTCTTTACTTTTTTACTTTATAATTAATTATAATACATATATTATTTTATCTATATCCAATATTACAATTCTCCTTGTCTTAATTTATTCAAATATAGTTTTTTTCTTGTTTGTTTGTTATAATTTGCATATATACATATATTTATATATTATTATATATAACTTAATAAATTATTATGAAAAAAATATATTTATAAGCAAGAATTTATTCTTTAGTTTGCTTATATTTTTTGCTTAGGTTTTCAAATCTTTAAAAAAAAGTTTTTTCAAGTCTTTTTATTTCTAGTTGTTTTTAACTTACCATTAGTAGTTGCACCTGATATTTTAATCTGTTTATTCATGATTTTGAAAATTAGTTTTTCAGGTCTTTATATTATTTTCTTTCTCTTTTGCACTTTTGACAATTTAAAAACATACCTAATATATTACTTAACAATGCCATGATTATATATATTTTCAGACAATTTGTTTATTATTACTATTATAAATAAACTATTATGACATGGAAAAAATCATATTATTACGTCAAAAAAAAAAAAAAAAATAAATAAATATAAAAAAATAAATAATAAAAAAAAAAAAGTTTTAAAAAAAACTTAGTTGAAAATTCACAGATATAAACTAAGAGAATTTTTCGAGTTAAAAGCAATTCATATATTTCGAGTTAAAAGCAATTCATATATCTTAAAATTGCTTCCACTGGTAATTGCTAACAATGGTAACACAAAAATAGTTTAAAGATGCTTTGGAAAATGCTGATAAAATTGCCAAAGAAGTACTTAAATAAGCTTGTTACGTAATTAAATCACTTACTGCCAGAATTGACAAACTTACTAATAGAATTGATTTGCAGGATATTGAAATAAAGTCCCTGAAAGATAGCAAAAGTGAATAAACCTTAGTTATCTAAATTGGTTGGGCAATTACTCACTAGTAAAGTAAAATCAAATAGGTCAAGATGGAGGTGTTGCTATCTACATCAAGCATGATCTAGTCATGAATGAGGTATCTGATTGTCATCTAAGAGAGATCTTAAACAACAGTAACTGTGCAAATATGGTGTGAAATTAAAATCAGTAGCAAAATTGTTCTTATTCGTTGTGTCTATAGGCCACCTTTATTGCATATAAATAATATAAATCAATTTTTGGCTAAGCAAGCTGTTGATAGAAAAGCGTATAGTTGTATGTTACTAGCAGGTGATTTCAATTTTGCAGATATAAAATTGCGCGCTGATGATAAATTAAATTACAAAGTGGTCAAAATAGTTAGTGTTTTTCTTGAAACTTTTACTTATCATAACCTATAACAATTAAATTTCTCAACATTTAAAACATCAAATGGAAAAGCAAAAAATATTTTGGATTTAATTGCTATAGACTCATCAATTAGAGTAATCAACTTATTTAGCTCTCTGCTGTTAGGTGATTCTATGCTAAGTCATCGCATATTGAGTTAGGATTATGTCGTTCTTTCTAAAAGTGAGACTACTTTCTTAAACAAAAAATATGACATAAATTTGTGACTATATAAATTTCAGTCAAAAGATTATGGAAACTAACTGAAAGTAAATATTTGAAAATAAAAACAATAATGAGTGATTTAAACTTTTTTGCATCAAATATGAGTCCATACCACTCATTATACACCATGGTTAAATAAGAAAGTACTAGTTATGATAAAGCAAAAAAAAAACAACAACAATTAATCAGTTACTTATCTGCTACAAACTGGCGATCAGCGACACTGATTCGTGAATATAGGAAACTAAGTAGCTAAGTACAGTAAGCGTGTAAACATCGTGTTCGAGTATTTGATGCACAACTAGCATCTGATAAAAATAATCTGCTAAGGTGCAGCAGAATGTGTATCTGATGTAAAATGATGATGCTGCACCTTAGCAGGTGCTGCAGTGTTTATGTATCTGATGTAAAAGGTGAAACATTAACAGAGAGTTAAACTTCAAATCAGTCTTTGTTAATGATAGTAAAAGTAGTCAGTTACCTTTTGTTGAGAGAAGGCATAATTAAGAGGACTTAGGTGATATAATTATTAATTTTGAAGCAATGCTAACTTATTTGAAAGGTTTGAACCATGAATAAATCTATTGGTTCTGATAACATTAGTACAAAGGTACTTAAAGAATGCTCATCTCAAATGATTTACCCTCTTACTTTACAATAAAGCATTGTCTTGAAAAAACGACCTGCATCTCGCATAATCAACATGAATTTATGTCTTAAAAAGAATGCACGTCTAACTTATTGGAGAGTTTTGACAACATTACAAAAGCATTATGTCAAAGAAATTTTGTTGATATTGTATTTTTGAACTTTGCAAAAGCATTTGATAAAGTTTCTTACCGTAGACTACTTCATAAATTGAAAGCATATGGGGTTAATAGCAATGTTCTTAAATGGATTGAGACTATGGGATTAGTAGAAAACAGTGAGCTGTTTTAGGTGAACACTCGAGCAACTGGACTGATGATCTAAGCGGTCTGTACCTGGTCCAACATTTATTATCTATATGAACAACTTAACAAATAAGATAAAATCAGTTCATAAGATCTATGCTGGCGACACAAAACTTTTACAAGAAATAATACCTGAGTTTCATGATGCTGATTCTCTGATTTTTCAAAACAATTTAAACATTGTCACAGAATGGTCAAAGGAATGGCTAATGGAACAAAATGTTGCAAAATGTAAAGTTATGCACCTTTATTAAAGAAATAGTAATCATGAATATGTAATTAATGATGGAAATACATCACTTACTCTTCACACTGCATATGTTAGGCCATATCTGGAATTCACTGTTCCGGTATAGTGTCCTTACTTAAAAGGTGGTATCAAAGAAATTGAAAAAATTTAGCACAAAGCAACAAAAGTACCTCATGATTTGATTGAATTACCTTATGCTGAAAGGTGTTGGCGTCTCAATTTTACTACTATGGAAACTCGAAGGAGATATCGCAACTTAATCCAATAGTTTCAACTAGAAAACAGTTTTGAGGTTACTCCACTGCGCCTATCCCTAAATCAGTCAATTTATGTGCGCATGCACTTTGTCTATCCCTAAATCAGTCGATGTATGTACACTCATTGTGCCTATCCCTAAATCAGTTGATGTATGTACACTCACTGTGCTTATTCCTATATCAGTCGATGTATGTAAATAATAAAGATCAATGTAACTTACAATATACAACAATAATAATAACTTTCAGTAAAACTAGTTAAAAAACATTAGAGAAATTTACTAAGTAAAGGACTCGATCCCAGATAACCATGCAAGATGAACCTATGAGATACCACAATGCTAAACATACAATACGAATCTACGATTCTTTTTAAATTTCTACAAATAAAACCTTTAATCATCCAATAATACTTGCAGCCATGACTTAAAATAAACCAATCAAACTTTACTAATGTGACTTTAAGATAAAAAATTAAAGCAATGGTACTGTTGCACTAGACACAATGTTTTTTTAAAATAAAAAATTATTTTTAGTTAATTCATTTATACAAATGTCAGGAAAAACATTTTATATATATATATATATATATATATATATATATATATATATATATATATATATATATATATATATATATATATATATATATATATATATATATATATATGTATATATATATATATATATGTATACATACACATATATATACATGAGTTTTTAATTCTTTGAATCTTCAAATCATTAATTAAAGATGGTGGTGCTAAACCAGCATATATCTTCCATGTTTGGAAGATATATACTGATATTCTTGATCTAAGAATAACATATTCCATTTTTTTAGGATAGGTCTTGTGTGATTTTTGGTCCATACATAGACCAAAAATCCCTAGAGCTTTCTTTTGTAAACATTTAAGTTGCATAATTTTTTTTTTCGATTTACTGCTTTCCCAAATTTCAACACCAAACAATAAATTGCTTTTAATTAAACCATTGAATTAAAAACTTTAGGTTCAAGTGACAATAGTTTATTAAAATTTTTACCTATCTTTTTTGATGACTATATTACTTAGTAGTAAAACCTTGTTAGTAATAAATTTGTTTTATTTTAAAAAAATATAAGAAATTTATAGAAATAATAAAAAGTATAAAGTAAAAATAGATTTAAATGTTAAATAAATCTTATTTTAGAACAACTTGTTGGTAATAAAAAAATTCCATTAGAAAAAGGAAAGATTATTGCTGAAATACCAAAGCTTAATGAAGAATATTTAATTTCATTTGATTTTTATCCTAATGATTTTTTTCCTGATTGGCGTAGTGTTGTTCATTTCACTATTGGCTCTGATTATGAGAATTATGGTGATAGAACTCCTGGTATCTGGTTTGAATCAAAGTATTACAATAAAATTATTATTTCAGCGCCAGTTAATGGTAACCCTAATAAAGTTTTCACCATTCAAATCCCGGATCAATTTTCAAATCAGTGGTCAAATATTAAAGTTGCTCAAGTTTTGTTAAACAGTTTTTATTTATTTACAATCATTATGAATGGTGTTGTTGTCTTTAAAACAGAAAACTATCAATATCAAAGTTTTGAAAATATAAAGGTATATGCATCAGATCCTTGGTATGAAGCTCAAGGTGGTTTTATAAAAAACTTTTTTGTTATCAACGGCATATCAAGTAAGTTTTAAAAGTATTAATAGGTAATAAATATTTTTATTAAAATTTAAATGATAAAATAAATTGATTGTTACCAAATATTAGTGTGTTAAAGAGCGTAAAATTTGATAGAGAGCACTTTATATATTGTAGTGGCAGAGTACATTCTTCACAGTAAAAAAAATACCTGTTATATTTCCAAAAACTTAACTCTAGATTTCTTGTTATATAGCGGGTAATTACTATTATGTACAATGTATAATTCATATGAAAAAAGCATAGCAGTAAATACCGTAATTACCAATTATAAACATGAAATCTGGTGTTATGTTTGCGTTATGTAACTGTTATATTTAAAAGCCTGATATAAAGTAGTTACTTGTTATGTTTACTAACTTTAATAACTTTTGAAGTTAAAAAGGATTATATATATATATATATATATATATATATATATATATATATATATATATATATATATGTGTGTGTATATATTAAAATTTTTATTTAAGATTTTATTCTTTAAAAGAAAAAACAAAAAAAAAAGAATATTAAAATATTCAAGAAATATTCAAAAAAGTTTAATATACGTTCTATTTGAAAAATTCTAGCCAAAGATTCTGATATCACTGAGTCTAATATGTTTGTTGTTTTCTTGTTATTTATTTGAAATGTTGGTTGATTTATAATTTGAATTGATTATACTTTGAGTATTTAAAGTCACCACAAATATGTAAATCTGAATTTTTTTTTTTAATAACTTATAGGAGTAATTGACTGAAGTTACAGCGTGCTTGTTATTTCCCTCACTACAACCTATAGATTGACCCACAATAAATTTATTCTGAAACTGTACAAACCAAACACCATATTTACTCAATATTGCCATTATTTAAATAACTATTAATCAAATTAAAAGAACTAATGCTTTCATGACTATAAATACATACTACATGTCCCCTATTAATCAATCTGTTTTGTCTGGAAAATAAATAACTTGGAATATTTGATGTTAATGTCTGGAAAAGAAATAACTTGGAATATTTGATGTTAATGATTCACTTCGTCATATCATTATATATGTGGTTGCTTAACTTCAATATTAATTAATAATTTATCAAGCTTGTTGCTTAGCAATGTTGCATTAGTATACCAGCAAAACAGATGGTTTAATTTTTTAACTAATTTTTTGTTAGTTTGTTTGATGCAGATTTTGCAAATTCTAATTCCTTGAATACCATATTAAAAAGGCTTGTTGATAGTTCCTTCTATAGCAAGTTTTCTGTTGCATTTGTTTTTTTCAATAACTACTTCTTTTTTTTGTTTCTTTTCGACTTCAGTTTGATCCAGATTAATGTATTCATTTTGAAAATTATTCAATTTCTTCAGCTTTATAGAAGCTTTCTAAACTTCTACTTTGTTTGCATCGTTGGTTAATTATACTAAAACAGCATTGCTTAGTGTTTGAAATTATTAGTGCATTGCTTCTGTGTTTGAAATTATATTTTTTAATGATTATTTCTCTAAATCAGATTATTAACCAATTTGGAGTTTGCACACTTTATGGATTTTAGTATCAATGATCTTTTTCTTTTGTGACATTCCAAAGACAATACTATTACATTCTCACTTTCCAATACTATTATTTAAGGTAACAATAAAATGTTACCTTAAATAATAGTATTAAATGTGGTAAATTGCTTTGAATAAAAGGCGAAAACTATCCATTGAAAAATAAAACAAACAAACAAGGAATAATAGAGAAATTAAATAAAACCTAAAAACATTTACATTATATTACTATAAAATTTGTATTAAACTATAATATCATATTATAATCTAATATTATTAATAGTCATATTATAGATATAAACTTTTAAAATGCATATGTAGTTATAAATTTTATTAATGCAATAAAAACTCAGTCAATCAATATATTTCACACAAAAAAGTACTGTTTACAATATAGTAATAGTAAAAAAATTTATAATACTATTTTTGTAAAGAAAAACAAAGCAGAGGCTGTAAAAAGAATTAGAAAAAAAAAAAGTTTTTAAACATTAAATATGTACATTAGGGTGTCCCAAAAAAAAACATTTTTGAAAATAATCTGCTCTCACCCCCTAAATGTGTTCTACAAAAACACTAGGTTTAAATTCTTTTTGAATAAAAAATATTTTAAGGGGTCCCTCAAGACCCTCTAATATTTAATGGGTCCCTAATATTTTTGAAAAAAAAAGTTTTTCAAAAATATGTCAACCTGGTACTCAAATGAAGCGAAATTATATAAATATTTCAAAAATTATATTCATTTTTAACTTGTTTATCAAAAAACATTAGAGATGCATTTTTTTCATTTTTTCTTAATAAACGCAATTTTTTATGTCATAAAACCAAAAATAACAATTTTGTTTTGAAATGAATATTATTTTTAAAATTTTTATGGACCAATTAAATATTTTTTTAGGGACCAATTAAATATTCGAGGGTCTTGAGGGACCCCTTAAAATATTTTTTATTCAAAAAAAATTTAAACCTTATGTTTTTGCATTAGATAGAACACATTTAGGGGGTGAGAGCAGATTATTTTCAAAAAATGTTGTTTTTTGGGACACCCTAATGTACATAAACGTATAGTGTTGCCATATTATTCATTTTTATCAACTTTATGTGTGTAAACAATATTAATAAAGATGAATAACATTATGATAACATTATTTAATAATATTAAATGGAAACCAATATATTATATTAGCAACAAGTCATAGTAACCAAAAATATAATAAAAATATATTGTAACATATATTGTAAACAAATACTAATGAACTGTGTTAATATAAAAGTTGTTTGAACACTTATTGCTTATAGAAAAATATCTTTTAGAATTTGTAAAAATCCCACTTTTTATAAAATATTTTTATGTCATATTAATACGTATTTAAACTAACATAACGTGTAACATAACAGTAAAAAACAACGCCTTTCTTAGAGAAAAGAAAATATGAATAACTTCGGGGAACATAACCATGAAAACATATTTTTTACTAACATAACGGTAAACTTAACGCTAAATTTTACACAAACTGTTATGTAAGCGTTATGTTAGCGTTATATTTTTTACTGTGTTTCTAATGCAAAAGTTTCAGGTTGGATCCCCACCGTATTTTGAGACAGTACCATAATCAACTTGTTTTTCTAGGCAGTGATTTTGTTTGTCAAGATTTACATTTCAGAGTCAACAAGTTGTGAAAGGGTTGTAACCACTATCAATACAAAATGAAACTTTTCAACTTGGTGGTCTCTTCTTTGACTAAAGTAAAATCTTTGACTATGAGTAAAAAAGAAATATGGTAACCTACTAGCCTTGAAAAAATAAGTAGCGTAAGAAAAAAAAGTTTAAGAAGTCAAGTTCCAAATTGAATCCCACCACATTTATGGTTGTACCATAGTCAACTTGTTTTTTTAACTATTAAAATTGCATAAAAAAACGGATTCTAAATTCATAATTTCATTTACATTTTTTACTTTTTAACTGTTACATACTTTTTTTGCTATTACATACTTTTTAGCTATTACATACTTTTTAACTACTACATACTTTTTAATTGTTAAATACTTTTGAACTGTTAAATACTTTTGAACTGTTACATACTTTTTAACTGTTATATACTTTTTAACTGTTATAAACTTTTGAACTGTTACATACTTTTGAACTGTTACATACTTTTTAACTGTTACATACTTTTTAACTGTTACACACTTTTTAAATGTTACATACTTTTGAACTGTTACATACTTTTGAACTGTTACATACTTTTCAACTATTAAATACTTTTGAACTGTTACATACTTTTAAACTATTACATATTTTTGAACTGTTACATGTTACAACTTAAGATCTGTTCTTCAATTCTAGTAATAAACATATATTAATGAGGTTATTATAAATTTTTCAGGTTTAAGGTTTTATATCTCGAAGTTATTTTAAGTATTAATTTTGTCTATACACATTATACATGGGTACATAAGCAAATTTACCCATGGGGAAGGGGGTTATATAAATTTATGAGGTGCAACATGGTAGGGGGTTCAAATCTGGAGATTTTTGCATACATAATATATGGATAGCCCCTTAAAGAGACTTAAATTTTGTTTTTATTTTTAATAAAATCATAAAGAGACTTTATTGTTTTTTTTTTTGTAGTTTTTTTTTTTTTTTAAATATCTTGTTTTAATACAATATATATAATATAAAATGATGTACAAGCTATTTAAGTTTGTTGAATCAAAACATACATAATGTTTTTACTATAATTGTCTTTAAATGAAAGAATTCATTAATAGAAATAGTTTGTGGATATAGTTTGGTATCAAAAACTTAGAAATAATTATTTGTTACTTCTGTTTTTAATAATTAACCTCCATTTAATCTGATGTATTATTTATCTTTAATCTGATGTATTATTATTTTACGGTATTCAAAGGGTAGTTAATAAAACTTTTTAAACTAAAGTTTTGTTGGATAAATATTAAATATTAAATATGAGCTTAACTTTGTTCATAAAATCATCATCTTTATCATTTTTGTGTTGATTTATCTTGAATAGTTTTGTTTCTCTTTAGATAGTAGCATGCAACCTATTATTCTTCTACCTTCAGGTATATTTAATATTAATTTATTTATGATTTTTGTTTTATTATTATTATTTTTTTTTAATAAAGCTTGTTTTCTCACAATTACTAAAAGATGAAAAAAATTTATCTCCTAAACTTATTCATGCTCTAAACTCCCTTATGCTTAATCAAATTGCCATAAAAAAAGCAGACAAAGGAAGGGGTATTTGTATTTAGACAAAATCTACTATGAAAAAAGATTATTCAACTTTTTTATTCTCAGAAGATCCAACAAAAAGTATAGCAAGAGATGTATGACCCCATGTATGGCCCCACCCTATGCTTATTTATTTGTGGGTAGAATTGATGAGATAATAGTTAACCAATTTTTAAAGTAGATTTTTTTATATAAATTTTTTATAGATAATATATTTTATATTTTATTAATTTTTTTATTTTTTATTAATTCTACTAGTTCTATAAACTTCATAAACACAATAATTATGACCAACAAAAGACCCAACAAAAAGCTATATAGACAGTTAGAAAAAACAATACACAAAAAGCCAACTGATACAACAGCACTATTATATAACTCATTTCATCCCCTCATTAAAAAGGCAACTTAGTATATAGCCAAGCATAAAGATACAATAAAATTATATCAAACAATTACAACCTAATAAAAGAGCTGAAGCAACTAGCACAAATCTTAGTTATATAAGGTTATTCAATCAATTAAAAAAGGTTTTTAAAAAGCACTGCCATATGCACAGCATGAGCTTGTTTACAATAAATATAAAGAAGAAAAAGAAAAAAAGAGAACTTAACAAGTTGTTACAAAACTTGGAAAAGTTGGAAAACTTATAAACCAAGTCATACAAAAATACTGAAATATTGTTGAACAAGATATTGATCTTAAAAATATATGGCCAACTTAAATGCAGTAGTGGTGTAGTGGTAGAGCGCTCGCCTCATAAGCAAGAAGTTCTGAATTTGACCCCCACCATTTCAATGGCAGTACCACACTCAACCTGTTTCTCTGCGCAGCTGCCTTGTTTGTCAAGGTTCGCGTTTTAAAGTTATAGAGTTAAAAGATGTTTGTTACCACAAATAAAAGTAGAGTCCTTGGCTGTAGTTGCCTTCATGGCCTTGGGGAGGTGAATTAATAAAAATATAAAAAAAGAAACAAAAATTTCACCCATTGCAAGCTACAAAAATATTAAATCTATTTAAAAATTTCTTATTCAAATGCACATAAAAAAATATAAATTCACAATCTCTTGGTGTGAATTTTTACTTAATGTTATTGGTTTACCTTATATAAATTTTAGTTTTATTAATAGTAAAGTTAGATGGAATAAGTTTTTTTTGTGCATTTGTTATGGTCACAAAAGTAGGTTAATTCTGACCGTCAAGAAAGTCTTATTCTAAAAAAATATTTTTCTCGCTGTCTTAATTAATTTTGTATCACGCTTTTGTAATTTTACTCAATTTTTTATGAATTACCCATTTGCTAAAGATTATCTGATCTTCTTGCAGTCTTTAATTTTTTTTTTAATAATTATTTGCTTTTTTCATATTGTTACAGTCTTTCACAGAAAGATGTGCAATCACACGTCTTTATATGACCAGGCAAATTACATTTTGCTTTGACAATTTGACCGCAGCTTTTTCAAAAAACATTGTAAAAACGCTATAAATGAAAAATATTCTGATTTATATCTTAAGTGAAATGAATTACATCAAAACCTTCAACAAATGGGTTTATATTAGCGAAACACTTTTAAATAAAGTAGCAATTTACTGATAATGTTTTTTTAATTGACAATTGTATATATTTTTTTAATTTATAATATATAAATTGTTTAAGTGTGCATTTTTTATAAAAAATGTTATTTAAAAATAAAATATTGTTTTGTTTTTATAAACATGACATTCTACGACAACGAAAGTCTCCTAAATGTATTTTAATATAAGAATAATTAAAGTTAATACATTTGAAAAGATAAACAAAATTTCGTTGAAAAAAATAGACAAATGTTTTAGAAAGCCATTACAATTATATAAGTTTGATCTTAAATACTTTTATATTATTGAATGCTTTTTAATAAAGTAACAAAACACTTCTAATGAATTTTTATAATAAGTATTAACAAACTTTTGTCTTTTTTTTACTTATATAATTATTTATTCTTTATTATAAATGTTAATCTTTCGAAACATGAAAAAAACAAAGATTAAATGTTAAAACAAAGAATGAAATGCTTTTTAACTCCTAAATTAAACAGACTAAGCATTTTAGTTTGATGAGTTTTGTTTTAGTTGGGTTATATATATATATATATACATATATATATATATATATATATATATATATATATATATATATATATATATATATATATATATATATATATATATATATAATATGTAAGTTGGTTTTAATAACAAGGCAGCATATAACCATTTTTAAATATATTTTGATATAAAAATATATTAACAATATTTCGCTGACCTATTGTGAAAACGTTACAAAATAACATAAAACAAACCGTTTAAAAAGAAAAAATTAAAAAGCGTCAAATATAAATGTAATATAATGATGGTGTCAGTTAAATTTTTTGTCAAAATGCATCCCCAAGTTCTTGTTTTTATCCCCGTCATCTCAATTTAGAACACCTTCCCCAATACCTATCTCATATCAAACTCTGGCTTGTTAATATCCAGAGATTATCTAATTGTTTGTATCCTGTATTCTTGAACGACTGCCAAGGTCTTAGGCTTTAGCCAATCAAAGTTACTAGGACATGTTCTAGAATGTTCCGAATGGATTTGAGTTCGGAGGTAGTTTTGTTTTGTTGCATAATATGTTATTTAAATTGGGAGCTGAAGTAAATATAACTCTGATGTTTTGTTTTTTAAATTCTCTTTGAAGTTTTGGGCCAATAATAGGTATTTAAGGTAGTTTATAAACTTTTGATCTAATTGATTAGATGTAATATTTTTTAAAATGCCGTCTAAATAGTTTTTGGTTATTTTAATAAGATTATTTTTGTTATAGCCGTTTTCAAAAAAATATTTATCTATGAGAGTATATTTATGAGAGTTAATTTAGTCCAAGTTTTTAAATCTTCAAGATCATTGTTCAATATGTTAATAATAACAGGAATTGCTTCATCGATTCGTACGCATGAATATAAATTAATTACATCAAAAGAAACCTGATTTTTATAAGGGCCTATCTTCCATTCTTTAGCATCATTGACAAAGTTTTTTGAATGAATTACTTGAGTTATATTTTTGCTTAAAGTTGGTTGGATAATTTTAACCAGATACTCAGATATTCCATAAGGTGGTGTGTTTATAGTGGAAACAACAGGACGCATTGGGTAGTTTTTTTCCGGTTTGTGTGCTTTAACCATATATATATATATATATATATATATATATATATATATATATATATATATATATATATATATATATATATATATATATATATATATATATATATATATATATATATATATATATATATATTGATGAAACCAAAACGAAAATCATTTCATGAAGTGCAGAACACCAAAGAGCTTGCAAAAATCAAAAATGGTTGAGTTCGGGAACCACAAAACATTCTAGTACATGCCGTGGTAACTTTAATTGGCTAAGCCCTAAACCTTATATTTGACGCTTTTTAATGTCTTCTTTTTAAACGGATTGTTTTATGTTATTTTTTAATGTTTTATTATTACCTGATGATGCTGACCACAATAGGTCAGTGAAATATTGTTAATATATTTTTACATCAAAATATATTCAAAAATAGTTATATGCTGCCTTTTTATTAAAACCAACTTACATATTATATATATATATATATATATATATATATATATATATATATATATATATATATATATATATATATATATATATATATATATATATATATATATATATATATATATATATATATATATATATATATATATTTGCTTTAGTTAATTTTTTTTTATTTTCTCTTTCGTTAAGATTTTTTTTTCTTTTTCAAAGTTTTTTTATAGATAAGTTTAAGTAAGTTTTTGTAGCGCATTTTTAAATTTTAATAATATGTCAAAGGCCATGGTCAAATCGTCAAAACAAATTACTTTTTGTATGGTCATATAGAGACGTGCAATCTCACGTCTTCCTGTGAAAGACTGTGTTAGTACTGTTAAAAAGTTTTTTTTTGTTATTCTTTAAATTCTACCTCATCTTATGTAATTTCACACTTATATTTTTTGTCTTTTTATCAAAGATCAAAAGAGATTACTTCTAACCTTTTAGTAAATGTTTATTTTTGAAGCTAATTTTGATTAAACACAATGTTTTCTGATTATCTAGGACCTGATTATGTAAAAAATACCTTCTTAATTTTAAATTGTTTGCGAGAGAATTTTATTAGTATTTTTGTTTGTGTTATATGAGTGATTTTGTTTAATTTTGGTGTTTCTGTTAAAATTTTTATTTATTGTTTTTTCATGTTTTGTACCACTAGTATAGAAAGTTGTTTGTTTCTGTTATAAATATTTTTGTGTGTGTGTTTGCATATTTTCTACCAGAATGTTGCATATTTTCTACCAGTATGTTTATATATATAATAAAAGGGTTTGAATCAACGCAATTAATCAAAAAAAAAATTATTTTGGTTTTCCCCCACTCTCCCCTTCCTCCTCATCCTTCACGCCATTTTGTGGTAATGAGGGGAGAGGGGGTTATCTTTTGTAGATTTTTTCTTAATTGCTATTTTTTAAACATATTATTTGTCATATTTAAATATTTTCTTTCAATTTTTTATTTTGGTGGAGTTTAAAATAGCTTAAGTTACTGTTATAATTTTTACCTTGAGGTAAAATCTAAAGTTTAAATTGCAGTTGTAGTGTAATGTATTTAATACTATTAAGATATTACTTTTAGTAATATCTTAATAGTATTATCTTAATAATTAATATCTTACTTTTAGTATATACTTAAAAATAGTAGAGGTAAAAAAGTAAAAGTAA